TTTTTTAATTTCCTGATCTTTTTGAGACAGGGTCTCCCTGTAGCCCCAGCTGTCCTGGAACTCACTATGTAGACCAGGCTGGCCTTGAACTCACAGAGATCCGCCTGCCTCTCCTGGGACTAAAGTGCTGGGACCAAAGGCGTGCGTCACCACACCCGGCCCTAACTGTTTTTGTGTGGTTTTTTTTTAAACAAAAACAAAAAAACAAAACCTTTTTAAAGCTCTCATCAAATAAGTTACTAACTATATTGATATCTTCAATCCTGTAAGATTATGACATTGACATGAACTCCAGGAGTGATCACAGTATTGAAAATTCTATATTAAATGTACATGAAAAGAACAGTTTTCATTCACCAGTAACTTACATATCCTAAACATTGCAAAGAACAACTATTTATTCACTCAAATATAAATTTTAAAGTTAAATTTGGAAACAAATAACCTCTGCCCCTGATACATTATTATTTATGAGATTTGCAAATAATATGAAAAGCGATTGAAACTGGTGTATATATAAAATTCCCAAAAGTACTATATCAATTTTCTAATATATTAAAATAATACTGAAGTATTAACAGTATATCATCATCTAGAATATTACCCAACAAAATAATGATTCAAAAGTTCACAGCACTAAATTATACTCATTCTGAGTGGAGCCAGGCTTCCATACCATCTGGTAGAAAAAGTTTTATTGTGGAAACAAGACACCCATGGGTAACTGGTTAAAACAAATAACATAAAATAATTGTTTAAAAATATAAAACTTGGTGGCTCTCAGATCTAAATGTATATTTTATTCTTAAAAGTAATAGCTTCTGGGAAAATAAATAAATCTAGTAGTTTAATGATAAAACTCACTACTTTAGAAAAACTTCCAGTTCTCTAACAGTCAATGAAAAGTCACCTGATTGTACAATGTACAAAAATACAATACTTCGGAGAGAGATTGAATATTCGTTTTTTGTCCCATATTTGCTGACATCAAGCCAAGTCTACTACCCTTAAA